AATAGCTACCAAAAAGATAAGATTGTGAAAATGTCAATACCACCCAAAGCAATCTAGACATTCTATGCAATCCCAATCCAGATTCCACCAACATTCTTTAAAGACATGGAAAAACCAATCACTAATTTTACATGGGAAGGAAAGAGACCTCAGATACGCAAAGAACTACTGAAGAACAACAAAGTAGGAGTTCTCACATTCCCAGATCTAAAAACCTACTATAAAGCCACAGTGGTCAAAATAGCCTGGTATTAGTACAACAACAGATACACAGACCAGTGGAACAGAATTGAGAACCCAGAAACAGATCCATCCACCTATGTTCAGCTGATCTTTGACAAAGGGCTGAAATCCATTAAATGGGGAAGAGACTGTTTAATAAATGGTGCTGGCAAAACTGGATATCCATTTGCAGAAAAATGAAACAAGATTTGTACCTCACACCACACACAAAAGCTAACTCCAGATGGATCAAAGACTTAAATGTGAAACCTAAAACTATAAAGTTTATCAAAGAAAAAATAGGGGCAAAGTTAGGGGCCCTAATTTATAGCATAAATAGACTATCAAGCATAACCCAAGATGCACAAACAGCCAAAGATAAACTTGATGACTCAGGCCTTCTAAAAATTAAATGTATGTGCTTCAAAAGACTTTTCCAAATGAGTAAAAAGAAAACCTAAAAAATGGGAGAAAATAGTCAGCAATGACATACTGGACAAATGACTTATCTCTAAAATTTATAAAAAAACTCCAACAGCTCAACAACAAAAAGACAAACACTCCAATTAAAAAATGAGAAGAAGACATGAACAGATACTTCACCAAAGAAGATACTCAGGCAGCCAACAAACACGTGAAGAAATGTTCACAATCCTTAGCCATTAGAGAGATGCAAATTAAAACAAAAATGAGATACCATCTTATCCTAGCATTAACAGCAAAGTTCAACAATACAGAAAATAACAAATGCTGGCTAGGATATGGAGAGATTAGGACTTTCATACGCTGCTGGTGGGACAGTAAAATGATATAACCACTGTAGAAAGAAGTATGCTGATCCCTTAAAAAGTTGGATAGAAATACCAATTGATCCAGCAATCTCATCAGTAGGTATATATCCTAAAGAATGAGAAGCAGGACATGAGTAGATATATGCATACCCATGTTCGCTGCAGCACTATGCACAACAGCAAAGAGGTGGAATGGATAAATAGTGGTACATACACACAATGGAATACTATGCAACCCTAAAGAGTAATTTAGAATTTGCAAAATACTGGATAACGTGGATGATTTGGAGGACATTATGCTGAGTCAAGTAAGTCAACCACAGAAGGCCAAATATTATATTAGTCCAGCATTATAACAAATTCAAGGAAAGGTTTATTCATGGAAGGAAACTTTGTTGGTTATTAGGGATGGGAGGGAAGGGAAAATTCCTAGATAAGTTGGAAAAAAAATACATATATTTAGAAACCAAAGATTATTAGTGATTACCAGGGGTAGGAGGGAGAGGGGAAGGGGAAGCTTTTGCTTTGAGTTTAGCACTGAGTTTATGCTTTGTTGTTGTTGTTGTTAGGTGCTGTCGAGTCTTTTCCCACTCATAGCGACCCCATGCACAGCAGAATGAAACACTGCCCGATCCTGCGCCAGCCCCACAATCCCTACTATAATTGAGCCCATCATCGCAGCCACCGTGTCAATCCATCTCGTTGAAGGTCTCCCCCTCTTTCGTCTACCCTCCACCCTACCAAGCACGATATCCTTCTCCAGGGTATGGTCCCTTCTTACAACATGACCAAAATAGGTGAGACGAAGTCTGGCCATTCTTGCTTCCAAGGAGCATTCCAGCTGCACTTCCTCCAGGACAGATCTGTTAGTTCTTTTAACAGTCCATGGTACTTTTCAGCATTCTCCGCCAGCACCACAACTCAAAAGCATCAACTCTTCTTCGGTCTTCCGTATTC